CAAATCTACCTTCTTCTTTTTCTGCAATTGCTCACATAGTGAATACAGTCATGGGTACTTAGCAGACAAAGAAGGTCCTATTCAACCCCCCTATCCGAAAACTTATAGGTCGCTACAGTAATCGCTCTGACATTTCCTTAGATATCAACTACTTAGTGGATCTCCTTGCGGCACAGCGTTCAGGATTAATGAGATTGGAGCAAATAGGTAAATAATGGAGACGTCTAGGGTGGCATGAAATTTCGTCTTAGTTTCACATATTCTAGGTGATCCAGACTTTGCAGTATCAGATCCAGTGAAGGAAAGCTTAGCAGAAAGACGTAATAATTCTATAAATGATTCAGAAGAGGAAGCTGAAGACGTTGGCGGTGTTGATATCAATGGATTGCTTTGGAAACTGGTAATAATTTGAACTTGGCTATATTTCATCATTTCTGGCATCCCCGGTCACTTTTGCCTTAAACTTGAGGACTGTTTGATAATAACTTTAAGATTCTATTATTTGCTCTTCTTGTCCGAACAGTTCTCTATTATTTTACAGAATCACGAAGATACGGTCGGCTCGCACATAAACGTCATCGACAACGGTCATATGGCTGTATCTTTGAGTTCAACTATAAACGAAAAGTACATTGTTGTCTTTTTCTAAAATTTAGATGCTTTAAAATTGTTTCAAAATGTTTGTTCTTATATAGGTTTGGTTCCGTTCGTCGCTTTGAGAAAGGTGGTTTTATCTGGAATAATGCAATGTCTGGATTTACTATCCACGACAAAGAGGACAGTGAAGATATGCACGAGAATTCTGTAGAGGGAAGGAAACGATCACGTACATCTATGGCGCCTTTGATGCTGTTTAATCAGGAAGGACAGGTAGCTTTCTAAGTATCTATATTCTCCTATAGCAAAACCTCTAATTTAAGTTAATCGGCTCCTATGGTATTACGGGATCTCTTAATTCAATCCTTGGGATGTCTCAGGTTCTCTTACATCGTATACTTTTTGACATGGTAAGTCCAATCTTTATG